AGCCTGCATTCTGCCCATTCCATCCTATTGCAGCGTGCGGTTTACGCTATTTTACGGTCGCTATCAGGATGGATCGAACGCAACCGCGTGAGGCGTAAGTCACTCCCCCACTGAATTTGGCGACGCACTCATCGCCATATATCGCCGAAGCATAGACCTTATTTGCCATAAGTCTATCTCATTTTCCCACCTTGTCCCATGACATTCCCGTGTCATGCGAAGCCTTAAGTCATGATCTTGCGATCCGTGACAAGAGGGTCCCTTAGTTTATTTGTACATGGCATGTTTTATCTTCAAATCTTGCAACAGAGTACTTATTTTTCCTATAATATGAATGCCAGTAGTGCATAGGAAAGAGTTTAAAACGAATTTCAAAAAAAAAAATTAGAATTGAAAAATATTTATAAGTATTATGTTTAATAATTACATAAAAGTTGAAAAAAATCTATTTTCTTTTAACGCGATGAAAACTATTAAATCTATGTTTGACGGAGATTAAAATTAGATTTTTAGTAAGTTTGATAAAAGTAGACGAAATACCTGGTTGAGTAATTGTGGATTCTAGGAAATGTGCTATTAAAATTGATTACTGAATTCGACTTAAATTCAATTTGAATTTTAGTTTCCACCAAACATAGGCAAAATGTTTAAAACTAAATTATAATATTTTTATGCAATAGAGTAATTAAAACGCTTCTATATTAAATTATAATTAAGGTAAATAAAAAAATATTTTTAAGATTTTTGTTATTTCACGGTATAAAAGCCATTTCCAATACTAAACCAAAATTTTGAGGTAAATCTTGCACCAAAATGAAAATCATGTCCAACCCATTATACAAAAACTTACACCAAATGAATAATATTTTATTATTTTCTTCACTTTTTTTATTCTTAACAATTTATTTATTTGAAAAATTATTTAATTATTTTACAACTATATAAATTACTAATAAGTAATTATGTTAAATTAACGAAATTATTAAATTCATGATAAATTTAAAAAATATAGTACAATTAATAGAAATGCTCTAAATAAAAAATATTAAATCATGCCACTAAAAAATAGTGCAATACGTTTCGAATTTTGATATTATGATATTACAAAGTTGAAATAGTGTTGCAATTTCATTTTCAAAATTCATATTTTCATTCCACCAGTGATCAATTAATAAATTTCGAAATGCAATGTGAGCCTCTTTATTTATGACTTGTCCATGATGGCAACGAATTCTCAAAAATAATGATTTTTGTCTTCAACTAACGCAACTTTCGGAGTTGATGCTTCCATCTAATGTGAGCCTCTTAGTTTTTACTTTAATTCATTCCTTAACTATTATTGATTATGTCTTATATGATCAATCGATAGACAGAACAATCAAAAAAAGAAGTTAAGTTAGAAAGTCATATGATATGCTGTAACTATCTTGTACGGTTTGGAAGGTAATTGATGTACTCCGATCAGTGGAGGAATCTTTGGCTTAAAATTTAATAATAATAATTTATTGTATTAAAAATGTATAACAAAAAGGAACATAATTACGATTAACCGATCTTTTTACAAAGTGAAAGTGGTGTAAAATTGTCACTTACACTATTTTTGCACTATTTTGCACCAAAAATAGTATAAAGTATGATGTTAAATTGAAGAGCATTTTTGGATGCAAAATGGTGTTTGGGATAGTATTGGAAACGGTCTGAGAGCATTTCTCATAGAGCGTCTAAATACAAAATACTCTTTATTTTAAAATCAATACTTAAAAATAAGCTGTAAGAAACTTTCTATATAAACTTTTTAGCATAGAATGTGGATTTGATTCTCACCCAAACTCACCATCTATTCTTTGTTGTACAATGATTGTATTTAATAAATCATAGATTTCAATACTCTATTTTTCGAAACTATTAAAAGTTTATTTAAATTTATTGACCATTAACATTTATAAAAAATCATATTAGAAAAAATAAGAGGAAAAAAATTAATAAATATTTGTTGAGAAAGCAAAATAAAAAGTCAAAATTGAAAGTATTTTTAGAATGCATAAAATTTTTGACTTTATAAATTTATAAATTCTCTCTATAATGTATAAAATGCTCTTTATAAATAAAGAATTTCTTGAATAAACTTTAAAGATTGCATAAAAAAATTTAAAAAGAGCAAAAAATCAATTGCAGCACTATAGTCTATAAGTAAATAAAAAATTTGAGTTGAATTTAAAATGGGTAATTATATTACCACTACAAAATTTGTTAGGTGCACCAAAATTTTTAGTAATTTTTCTTATTTACTTAAATAGCTTTAAGCAAAATTGGGTTTTAATATACTTTTTAATAAAATAAATAAATAAATTATTGTATAGTTACGAGTCTTTTGTCTCTGTGATTCTCAGTATTTTTTCGAACTTGGTTTTCTTCTTAAACTGTAACGACAAAGTAGCATTCAAATTTCGTGATTCTCTAACTCTTTTAATCGTACTAGGCAAATTTTAGTCATCCAAATTTCGTGATTTATATATTTCTTTCCATCATAATACACCAAAACTGTAAAAATTGAGAGAGAGAGGGAGGGAGAGAATAATGGAATGTAAACATGGAATCTTTATGCAAATGATTTGAAACCTGTTGTTTGCTTAGAAGAATCCAACATTACAACTATAATCTTTTTAAAAGCAAATAGAATGGCTATGAACCAACATATCAGGTTCTTTAGCAGTAACTCCATTGCAATTAACATTGAGAGAGAGAGAGAGAGAGAGAGAGAGAGAGAGAGAGTACATTTGGTTTGTGAAGACAGAGGTCTAACGCACAGTATTGTGGTCCATGTTAACGTGTGTCTTATTCTCCTCCATATTCTTTGTTTACCGTGCCCTGCCCTGCCCTGCCCTGCCCTGCCCTCTCAACTCCATTCCTATCTCTAGAAAATAGTTAAGAGTAATCTCTGTGAACTCAAGGTGAAAAGACACTACAAATCCTTGTTTTAGAATTAGTGAATATGTTTAAAGGATTAGACAAATGACTAGTAATATTGGGACGATGAGTACACCATAATACCTCTTGTGCCCTCCTTTCTTTCAAATTTTAATATTTGGAATAGTGTTTTGTTGAAAAACGCGCGGTTGAAAAAAATAGAAAAAGTTTTAGATTTACGTGTAATACTATTTTATGGAAATTGAGTGGTTAAAAGTAAGAGAGAAAAGAAAAAATTGAAAGAGAAAGCAAGCCATTAAGAGTATAATTATAAATTTATTATGATCAAAATATATTTTAATTATGATATATAATTATAAGGGTAATTGGCGCAAAACGTCCCTACCTTTTAGCTTCGTTGTGGAAAACGTCCCCACCTTTCATTTTTTGGCATTTTTGTCCTCAAATCAACCTTTCGTTGCGATGAAGGTCCTTCCGTCCAAGTTCCATCAATTTTGCCGTTAATTAAAGAGAGAGAACCAATTTTTGTCTAGTCAGCAAGGGTAAAATCGTCTCACCCATTGAACCCCTTATTCTCGCCTTCTACGTAGTTCATATATATAATAGTAGCTGAAAAATGGGTGTGAAAATACTTTAAATTATTACATTAAATAACGAAAAAAATATCGTTAATTAAAGAGCATATATAGTGGTGAAATCTGACCATCACTGCTACTTTTATGTTGGATTTCTGGAAAAATGTAGTAAGATATATATTGAATGGGTAGTCAATTTATAGAGATGACTGTTAGATATTTATTTCTAGTTTATGCTTATTTTGACCACAAGGTAAATTGAGGAGATTGAGTGGAAATGGGTACTGTGAAGTATGTATCAGTTCAATGGTGAATGACCCATTTTGGTTTATTGGTGAAGATGAACGGTCTTGTTCACTTCTTATGGGAATCGAATGAACCTTGCGCTAATAATCCCTACGTAGTTATAATTTTGGCTTAAAACATCCCTACCTATAAAAAGTTTGGCGAGTAAAATCCCTACCTTTTAGAAATATTTGCTAATAACGTCCCTACCTTTTAGAAATATTTGCAAATAACGTCCCTAACTTTTAGAAAAAATTTGGCGAGAGAATTCCCTATTTTCTTCCATATACCACCTATTGATACACACAAACTCAAAAAGTCCCTAAATACACAATTCTATCACAGAATCTGAGACACAATTTATCCACCAATCAATCGAAAACTGAAACAAAAATATCCACTACCTGCTAAAGCAAAAATAATCGGAAACTGAAGCAAAAATAGATACAATTCATTTCAAATGTGCAAAATAATTGTATCTAAGATATGTTGGCTGCTGGTATGCGACCATACGAGAGGAGAATGGATCAATAATTGTTGAAATAGAAGATAAATGAGAATTTTTCAAGAGCCGAGAGTGGAATGGGAACCGTTCGGGCTGTGAAGTGTGAAGAAGGAAATTAAGAAAATGAGGGTTTTCAATTGGTGAGACAGTTTTACCCCTGTTGAGTGGAAAAAATTGGTTCTCTCTCTTTAATTAACGGCAAAATGGATGGCAATTGGACGGAATGACCTTCGTTGCAACGAAAGGTTGATTTGAAGGCAAAAATGTCAAAAAATAAAAGATATGGACGTTTTCCATAATTAAGCTGAAAGATAGGGACGTTTTGCGTCAATTACCTTAATTATAATATGATGTAACAAGTAAATTTTGTGGTGATACCGTTTAGAAATTAAGTTCTCGTTTGGTATCTATTAAATTAAATTTCATTTTTCTCTCCTATATTTATATTTTATGTAAATCAAATTTTTTTTACCTCTTTTCAACCATTCATTTAAAAAAAATACTATTCCACCAAATTTAATTTGGAAAAAGAGTCATGCTTGATGTACAGAAGAAATTTTCACAAAATGTTGTTAGAATACACACATAGAGAGGGGGGTAGAGTATTTTTCGACAATTTTTTTTTTTATGATAAACCTCACACCATAAGATTATTCTGACAACATTCTATAAAAAGTTATTCTATACACGTGAATTTATCCTTTGAAAAAATGGGGACTAAGCCAAGCGTGCAGTGCGGAAGCATTTAAAAGTCTCCCTTCTCTCTCTTATCATCTAGGTTCAACTTACAGCCCCTTGTCTCTCCTCTATAGAAATCTAGGGTTCCGACGACGATGCAGCCATCAAACTCTATGATTCCATCACCGATGGCTCCGCCTCCTCAGTACAGGCCCCAGCAGTGGATGCCACAGCAGCCGCAACAAACGCAGTACCAGGTACCGCCACCACAACAGCCGGCGGCGACGGCGGGGTACTACTACCAGCAACCACCACAGGCTGCGCCGACACAACAGCCACAGCCTCAGCCTCAGCCTCAGCCTCAGCAGTACGGAGTCTCGCCTGCGGCTCAGGCTCCAGCCGATGACGGTACCCGGAGCCTCTGGATTGGAGATCTGCAGTACTGGATGGACGAGCAGTACATATACAGTTGTTTTGCTTTGACTGGCGAGGTATATCTACGCGGAGATAGAACTGCTTTACACTCTTGCAATATGATTTAGATTCTGTTTTATGGTGGGTGAACTCAATTTTTTTTGCATGTTTCGATTTCCATTTCAATCATTAATTGTGAATTGTGTCGCCTTGTTCTTTATTTGGTGAGCTCTATTCTTGAATCTCGCAGTAGCTAGTAATGTGCTGGTTTAAGTTGATAATGATTTTTTTCAAGGTAACGCTGCTTGTGACTTACGAGTCAATTGCATTGGTGCAGACTCTCTCCAATTTTTTTGGTGTATGCTATGAGTGCAATAATGCAGTCTTAACTTCCCCCTAACCGCCTTTTTTTTTCTTGGGGCGTGTGTGTCTATGTATAGCTGGAGTCATCTGTGTGTGTTGCTGTTATTTCAAACTGAAAAAGGGAATTTGGTGACCTCTTTGTATTCTTGAATCTCTCTGTAACTAGTAATTTGCTGGTTTAAGTTGAAAATGATTATGTTCAAGATAACACTGCTTTTGTCTTATGAGTCGGTTGCATTGGTGAAGACTCCCTTCAATTATTTGGTGTATGCAATGAGTGCAATACTGTAGTCATAACTTCCCCCTCACTGCCTTTTTTCTTGGGGGGTGGGTGTCAATGGATAATTGGGGTCCATTAGTGTGTTTTTGTTGCTATTTCGAGCTGAAAGAGGGAATTCGAGTGGTGGTGATGCTCAAAAGCCCCATGGTTTACTTGCTACTATTTTGCTCCCCATCGATCTTATTATTGAGGTTTTGCTCATGGTTTTGTTTAAACCTAATTTCATATATATTTCCTCAGGTGGTCTCTGCTAAAGTCATCCGCAACAAGCAAACTGGCCAATCAGAAGGTTATGGCTTTATCGAGTTTGTTAGTCATGCTGCTGCAGAGAGGAATCTGATGACATACAATGGCACTCAGATGCCAAATTCTGAGAAAACATTCAGGTTGAACTGGGCATCTATGGGAGCGGGTGAAAAGCATGATGATACTCCTGAATACACAATTTTTGTTGGAGACTTGGCAGCTGATGTAACTGATTACATGCTTCAAGAAACTTTTAGGGCCAGTTACTCCTCAGTCAAGGGTGCAAAGGTTGTTACGGATAAGATAACTGGACGCACAAAGGGCTATGGATTTGTGAGGTTTGGTGATGAAAGTGAGCAACTACATGCCATGACCGAGATGAATGGAAGGTATTGTTCGACCAGGCCCATGCGAGTTGGCCCAGCTGCTAACAAACAAAAAGTGGGTGGTCAGACTAAAGGTATGCTTTACCCTTCCTCCTTGTGGTATGCTTGTTAACAATGAGATGGCCATTAGAACATCAAACTGACACTTGCTGAATTTGGTCTTTTTTTTATATGATGTGATCTGATTCCTGAATATGACTGTTTAAATGCATTGGCTGCCTTTTTGTTTTAGAGGTACTTTCGAGAGTCGATGTCAGTTGAACAATGCTGTTAAGTTTGCTTCCTTTCAGTTTTTCTCTTGAATTCTTGAAGATAACCACAGCTTATGGCTCCATTTCCTTCAAGTTCTTTAAAAGTTTTCGGTTTTGAAATTTAAAATTTGCACAATCTCATAAAACTCCGGTTGTCTCAAAGCAGGATGTCAGGAGACTTATCATATAGGGGCCTGGAGCTAATTCGGCTGAAATGATAACCCTTTTAGTGCCTGGTTTTGTCTAGGTCAGTTTAATTTAATGTTTCTTACTTTTGGCTCCCTGTGGCGTTAATTATGCTACTATTTTCAGTTATTTTCCTCAGCCAGTTCCTTTACTTTCTCAGCTTTCAGTCAAACTAAATTTATTTCCAGCCATATTTTATTTTCGTATTTAAATTTCGGCCGCTAGAATTACTCAATAACTCCGTGCGCTGCTTCCATTCTGCCATTAACATTTGATTAAAATTGCTTTATTCCAATGTCATTTTGGTTTCCTACACTTACCATCGAATTTTCTCTTGTGAAAGAAAGCTCACCGTGGACAGTGGGCGATGATCAAAGTTTAGGTGGAAGTTGAAGCTGCATACGGCATGCAGTTTTCGGTGTTTTATGTAACCAATGTGTAATATGTTCTTCACGTTGTCTTTGTTGTTTCATTTGCAGTATCTTTTGTCATGTCATATCTCGTTTTTCCTTCTATCATATTTTATCATTAGGACCAATAGTGGTTTGTTGACACTTGTGCATATCAGCTTCACTGGTGCAGATATATGGGTTTACTCTATTTTGCGTACAAAGACCAAATATAGAAGGGCACTGATACAATTTTTTTTATTTTTTTTTGGTATTTGTATTTGTATTTGTATTTGTAGTATATTATTGAAACTGGCCGCCTCTATCAACTACAAGTATGCTTCTTCACTATGTCAGATGCGTGTGTACATGTGCATCTGAACTCTAGAGCATTGTTTGCTGTTTGGTACATGCAACGTTATCCTACAAAAAACTCCTTTTATTAAAATACTATTGATGTAGGAGTGCCATTACATGGGATTGCACCATGAAGACAACGTTGGGGTGAATTTCTGTGTATTGATGATAATTTTAGCAATAATACAATCAATTTATAATAAACTAGTTGGAAGCAAAAAGGAAAAATAATCTGCCCGAGTAAGGAAATAAAATAATCAACCAATTATCCTAAAATACAAAATCTCTAATTAATCACAATTTCCATCCTTGATATTCTTTCCATACTTGGACGTTTTCTACGAGTTCTCAAGTTGGAAAATAGATGTTGACCAAGTTCAACTTGCGGTTGAAATCGTCAAAGACTTGTTTGGATAACCCTTTGGTGAAGATGTGTCGTTTGCTCTTTTGTCAAAACATGTCATACAAATAATTCCTTCATCCACTATTTCCTTGATAAAGTGTTTGTCTACTTCTACATGTTTGGTTCTATAATGCTGCATTGGATTGAGAGAAATGTTGATCGTTGCTTTGTTGTCACAGTAGAGTTTAATTGAAAATTCCACTCCAACTTTCAGTTCTTCCAAGAGTTTTTTTATTCATAATACTTTACATATTCCTTGTGCAATTGTTCTAAATTCAGCTTATTCGCTGCTTTATGCCACTACATTCCTTTTTTTTTTTTTTTTACTTCTCCAAGTTACCAAATTTCTCCATACAAAGGTACAGTACATTGAAGTAGACCTCCTACCTTCTGTTGATCCAACCCAGACCACGTCAGTGAATATTTCTACTTTTCGTTTATTTTTCTCTAAAAACAGTCCTTTCCTAGGATTTTATATACTGCTTCCAAGTGAGCCTCTTTGGAAGAATGTATATACGTACCACGTTGATTGCGAAAGCTATGTCAGGTTTGTGTGAGAAATATATTAACTTCCCAACTAGTCTTTGATATCCGTCTATTTTCACTGAGTTTTGTGTCCTTTGATAGCTTTCCTAGCTCAATAGGGGTGTCCCTTGGTTTGTATCCTAGCATGCCAGTTTTGATTAAAAGGTGGAAAATGTATTTCCTTTGGAAAACACTCACACCTTTCTTTGATCTTGCTACCACCGCCTTTAATCTTGCAACTTCCATCTCTAAAAGTATCTCATTTGTCTTAGGTCTTTTACCTCAAAATCAGCTCTTAGACACCTCTTTAATATTTCCATTTCAGTTATGTTTTCCCCTATTATGATTATATCATCCAAATATACAATTAGGATAGTCTTTGTCCCATTTTTGAATTGTTAGGTGTGGTTTGACTGCTTTTGCTTGTATCCTTGACTTTTTAATGCCTTTGCAAATATATTAAAGCACGCTTTAGGTGACTTTTTGGGCCCATATAGAGATTTCTACAATTTACACACTTGATTTTCCTCATTTCTGTTGGTGAAGCTCAATGGTGTTATCATGAAGACTTCTTCTAGTTTCCCATTAAGAAAAGCATTCTTAATGTCTAGCTATTGAAGTGGTTAGTCTAGATGTATTCCTAATGACGAGAACTCGAACTATATTGAGTTTTGCCACGGGTCCAAATGTTTCTATGTGGTTGATGCTATAGGTTTGAATGTATCATTTCGCAGCTAGACGTGCTTTATAGTACTCTATTGTCACATCTGCCTTGTACTTTACATTAAAAACCCGTTTGCAGCATACATGTTTCTTTCCTTTCAATAGGTTTGCCGCTTCCCAAATTTTATTTTTCTCCAAAGCATTCATTTCTTCCATCACTACTTTCCATTTGGGTGATTCCAAGGCTTCCTAAATGTTTCTTGGGGTTTCTGTTTTATCAAGGTTAGCAGTGAAAGTACGGAACTTCATAGATAGAGCATTATAAGATATAAATTTTGAAATAGGACAGAGTGTACGTGATCGGGTTTGTTTTCTAAAAAGCAGTAGGTAGATCAAGATCTGAAGATTCATTGGATGGGGTTCTCCTTAGGTCCTATCACCAATTCCAACTCTCTTGGTACCTCAGGTGTAAGAGTTTCCTTATATTTTGATTTTGGATTTATTGAGTAAATTAATCTCTCTGTCACTATGTTTTCCATCATCTCCCCCTAAATTCAAGTTTCTTCCTGTATATGGTGCATTAGAAGGTTGGTTGACAGGCTTTGTATGTATTAGTTTCGACGTGGAAGGTCAACATTTAAGAATTCGTGATTTGAGAACCGATCTTCACTTATATTCTCCCCCTGAAAATGAGGATTTTTTAAGTAAGGCGTGTTTTCGAATATGGTTACGTCGAGGCTGACATAGAATTTTTGATTGGACGGGTCACAGCACTTGTAGCCTTTTTGTGTAGGTGAGTATCCAATAAACACATTTAATTGCACGTGGTTCAAGTTTATTTCGAAGATTGGAGTTGACATGTACAATAGTAGTACTACCAAACACTCTGAGAGGTAGATTTGAATTGACGTGAGAAGTCAAGAAGTGTTTTTGGAGTCTTTGTATGGATGAGTCGAATGAGAGTGTTCGGCTAGGTATTCGATTGATGAGATATGCAGAAGCAGAATGTTTTTGGCATATTTATAGTGAATATTAAAGTACAGACAACTTCGAGTGTCTATTTTTTCGTTCAGCAATCCCATTCTGTTGGGGGAGTTGACACGAGCTTTGGTGGACTATTAACATGTTTTTTTAGATAGTCTTGTAATGTAATATTGAAGTATTTAGTGTCATTGTTAGCGTGTAGGATTTGGAGTAGCGTTTAAAATTGGGTTTGAATCATAGTGGAAATTTATGAATACAAAGTGGACATCTGTTTTTTCTTCTAGGAGGCAAACCCAACATACTCGAGTGTGGCTGTCTATAATTGTGACAAACTATTTTGTTTAGGTACGGTTAGGGTAGGGGGAAGGACCCTAAATCACTGTAAATTATGGCGATTGGTTTAGATGGCTTGTATGTGGAAGCGGAAAAGGATGTATGCTTATATTTTGCAAATTCACAACTTTCGCATTGAATGTTTTATTAATGAAAATGGAAGGTAATACATCTTTCAAGTACTTCAAGCTAGGATGTCCCAATCTGTTGTGTCATAACAAAAGTTCACTATTCCATTACAGTCTAAAAGATGACTTGGTTTACTTATATCAGCTTTCTCAAAGTAGTATGGTCCCTCAAACTCCTAAGCATTGCCAATTGTTTTTCTTGATGAAAGGTCCTGAAAGATCCATTAAGACGGAAAGAGATTAGCAGAACAATTAGAATTTTTGGTCATTTGACTGACAGATAACAAATTATAGGACAAATTTGAAGTACAGATTTTAGTGTTATTGACTCATAGATTCGAACAATCCCTTTTTCTGCAACAGATGAGAGTGAGTCATTGCCAATTTTTTACTTTAATGTTTCCTGCATAGGTTGTGTATGAAGAGAATAGGTGATATGAGTCTATTATGTGATCGGACGGATTGGAATCTATAATCCAGTTGGTTTTAGATTGTAAGGAAGTGCTTAAGTCTCTAAGAAAGTACCTTTGTGAGCGAGAGAACGGGAAGGACCTTTAGGGGACTGTTGACCACGTGTTTGAAGGCTTGAGAACATTTGGAGAAGTTTCTCCAGTTGTTTCGAATTGAAAGCACCACTAGAAATTTGATTACTTGTTTCGGCTTGGTGTACCCTCTGTTCCTAGTATTTTTTCTTGGTTTCCAATCAGTGGATTTTTCATGAATTTCCCAATATCTTCTTTATTTCTCGAACTATGATAGTGTTTACACTAGGGTAGGAATGACAACGTGGCGCGTCGAGGTCGGGGCAACCTCCCCCACCTAGTTGGGTGATTTTAATCCTGTTAGCCATTTAGGGGGGGCGGGTTGCCCTTGCCTTGTTTACGTTTTTTAATAATTTATTTTATTGTCCCCATTCATTAAATGAAGACAATATTATATTTGTTAATTTTTAAAATTTAATATTGATTTTTATAAGTTAAATTGTTTAAATATGTTTGGTAAACTAAGGCTTTTATTGTTCATCATATTTCATTGCCATCTTCAATTAGAATGAATGAAATTTCGTGGAATTTTTCATTAAATGTATTGAATTCTCTAAACAAAAATTAAACAGGGTATGGCGGGCCCTTGTTGTCCGTACTCGTCCCTGGGCGAAGTCTCCCTCCCCTTCCCTGACCCAAATACCCGATTTAGCGGGTATTGGGTTTGACGGGTTCTTTTAGCCATCCCTACACCAGTGTCATCACCGCAATTTTGGTTTGGATCCATCAGCACTTCATGTTGATGATAGGCCTACATTTCTTCCTCCAAATCCAGCTTTCCCAAATCCTGCAGACCGATGTAACTTAACAAGTCCAGTCTAAGCAGGCCCATTTACCTTAAAAAACCAGGTACCTGGTACCTTGTTTCTTGGCCAATTACTTCTCAAATTTTGAGACCTACTTGTGGCTAAGGCAGACGTGTCTCCAGAGCTCTCCATTATCACTTGTTGGCGTGCCTCTTCACGTTGAACCTTAAAGAACATGAGTGGGAGGCAGTGGTCACCGACCTAATATTTGGCCTCGGATGTCGTCGAGTTCCCAATTCAGACCCGCAAGGAACTCATGTACTCTCTTGTTCTCTTGCTTTTTCTTATACAGAACTATATCTTTTGGGCACTTCCATTCTTCATAGCTGCTAAGGTCCGATTCTTGCCAAAGAGAGACCATCTCCATGTAGTAATCTGTAATATCCCTTGTGCCTTGCTTCGTTTGCCATAGCTGAGTCTTTTTTCAAAGATGTGCGAAGAATCTTCAGTTGGCGTATGTCTCTTTTATAGCCTCCCAGACATCTTTTGCGGTGTGGAGAAAGAGATACGTTTTTCCAGTGGAGGGTTTAATGGAATTCATGAGCCATGCCGTTATCATGGAATTTTCAGAATTCCACGTTGTCAGAAGCTTTGCATTGGTTGGCCTCTTTGTATCGTTGTTCAGGTATCCTAATTTCCCCTTTCCATCGATCACTACTTTTATGGATTGGGGCCACTTTCAAAAGTTCCTTCCATTTAGTTTCTCCACTGTGAGTTGGAACGAGGAGTTTTCGATTCCATTGGAGCCGAATGAGGAATTGGCTTCTGCTTCGAATTGGGAAGTTATAGAAGTTGTGGATTCCTGGTTGGTGGAAGGAAATTCTTCCATAATGTCTTCTAGGTTGGGATACCTAGCTCTGATATCATGAAGACAATGTTGGAGTGAATTTCTATGTATTGATGATAATTCCAGTAATAAAACGATCAATTTGTAATACACTAGTTGGAAGCAAAAAGGAAAAATAATCTGCCTAGTAAGGAAGTAAAATAATCAACCAATTATCCTAAATTACAAGATGTCTAATCAATCACAATTTCCATCCCTGATATTCTTTCTGTACTTGGATGTTTTCTACACACCAAATATGGGAAATATAAACACAACACTAGAAAGAGGCCATGGGTTTTGCACTATATTAAAATCCTCTTAAAAGTTGCATTATCTAGCATCTTCATAGCATGGGATCATAACAGGAAATAGGAAAAATGAACACAGCATGAGAAAGAGGCCTTGGATTTTAATGTCTTAAGGTTACCCAAACACGTTGATGTGGATTCTCATCAACATTTTTTATTCTCACAAAATTGACCGAATGGGCAGCTCCCATCTCAGTTTTGCCTATAATTCTCTCTCTCTCTCTCTCTTTTTCTTCTTCTTCTCCTTCTTCATTTTTTTTTTTAAAATTTAAATGTGTATGCGATCTTCCCTCTGGTCTAAGCTGGCAGCATTTGGGATTTTACTTTATGTTTGAGATAGATTCAAGGCAGCATCTCAGATTTTGTTTTCAAGGTCCCTTTTCGTTTGCATCCTCGTGAGATTGGCTTTTGTCGGTATGAACTGTGGTTTGATGACCTCCATGTTCATATTTTTGGCATTTCCGAAATTTTATATCCTGTATTGCGCTGTTTTGATTTCTGCTCTCTTGGATTAAACTACCACCACCAATCTGCTGCTCCTCTCCCCCCTTCTTTCTTTTTTTTTTTTTTTTTTTTTACATTCCCCTCACCCACATTTTTTTTTTTTTTTGAACATTCCCCTCACCCACACTTACTGTGTATTTGCAGGTTCATACCAAACTTTTCAAGGAACTCAGGGTGAGGATGACCTCACTAACACAACTGTGAGTAACTTTATTTACAATAATTTGTATGACTTTTATCTCATATTTGGTGTCTAATTTAGTTTTTGGTTGCAGATATTTGTTGGTAATTTGGACTCTAATATCACGGATGAGCATCTAAGGCAGGTTTTTGGTCAATTTGGACAGCTACTTCATGTAAAAATACCAGTAGGCAAACGATGTGGATTCGTTCAATTTGTTGACAGGTAACCTGAAGATTACAACTCTACCTTCCCCCTCCCCATTACACATAATTTAAACACCAAGAAATCAGTGTGAAGGATTTGTAATGCTCTCCGCATCTGTTATAACAGAAGCTGTGCTGAGGAAGCTCTACGAATGTTAAATGGAACCCAGTTGGGAGGACAAAGCATTAGACTCTCATGGGGACGTAGTCCTTCAAACAAACAAGTACGTTTCATCCCATTTGTATGTTTTCTAATTTTAGCAATGGGTTATTGGTTCTCAGTTATGCTGATTGTTACACTATTCTTCTATTCAAATTTTTGAGCCTCAGGTTGATCAAAACCAGTCCAATGGTGGATATTATGGATATGCACCTGGATATGAAACTTATGGATACGCACCAGGAGCTCAGGATCCAAACTTGTACTATGCAGGCTACCAAGGATATGGAAACTACCAGCCGCCCCCTCAACAACCACCTCAGGTAGATATGTGTACAGATTTGATGGCAAAAATCTTTTTACCTGCTAATAATTTTTTTCATATATTTTGCACAAATGTGTCATTGACCACTGTACATTTGCATTTGTGCAACACCTTGATTATTGACCTAGTCTTTTCATTTCTTGGATCATCTGTCAGATTTTTCCCTTTGTCGATATTTGTGGTCTGCTGTTTTGATTTATATGTATTTGAATTGGATATATTAAGTAACAACAACATAATCTATTGTGCAGTAATCTGCTGGCATCAAATGTCAATATGCTGCTGGTGAATGTTGTAGCAAAGAATAGAGGAGTGGTCAGTTTTTCCGCTGCAGTATTATCTGTTTCTTGATCTTCGAAACTATTTATTGGCCTGATAGTTGTTTTCTATTCTACTTCCATTGAACTAAAATTTGGCTTGGTTAGGCTCTTTGTTGTTAAAAACACACTTTTCACTTGCTCTTTTGTCGACATGTTCATCTATGCATTATAAAATTTGGATCTATTGTGGTTTGCTTTTTGCTCCTGAGATGTTCTGATTTTTAGTTATCCTTTAATCAAGGAATTGTTATTCAGCAGGTTTTGTCCATTGACAAATGTCATTGAGATGATTAGTGTTATTGAATGGGTTGGAAAATGCATATGAATCTGTAATCTCTTATGATGAAATTGCACTGGAAGTCGCTAACCTATTAAATTTGTGCAAATGAGTCTCTCGGTCTAACCTTTAGTTCTTGACATTTAATATTTGGAACACTGGTAACACATTGATCTCTAGTGGAGGGTTTCTGGCCAGGTGCTGTAGATTTGTTCTCAACTCAGTCTCACGTCGCTGAGTTATGAGGTGTAAGATGGGTTAATAACTTAATTTCGGCAAGGGATGTCCTTGCATTAATATTACAAATTGTAATGCCTGGGGATTTGCTGCAGCCTCTTTTCTTGGTCTTCCAGTTGGGGTGTTGTTTCAAAAGAATATTTCAATTATTTGCATCAGTCTGGTTTCTTCAAGTTCAACCAGTTACTTGTTGCTTGGCATCTTGCTTACAATATGCAACTACTGTCCCGCCGTAATTTATTTTTAAGTAGGTACCATTAATTACTATTACGAGTTTCCAATACTCCATTCTCTCAGTAGATAGTCATTAGCTCAATACTTTCTATTAGATTTTCAAGCTTTTTTAGGGATGTAAATGAGTCGAGTTGAGCTGTGAGCCAAAGTTCACAACGCGGGCATGGCTTAGATAAAAAGGGATCGAGCTTTTTTTGGCCCAAGCCGAAAAATTGGAGCTTGGCTTGTGCCTTTTTGAGCTGACTCATTTTATTTTATTTTATTTTTTAATAAAGGCAGGCAGCTGTAGCTACCATTAAAAGGTGGGTTTTAATGGCAGCCGTGGCTACCTTTTCAAAGGCTCTATACATGGGCTAAATTGGCTTGTGTTTGTGTGGCTAACAAGGGCCGGCCCCTGTGGCTTGGCAAGCCGTACGGGTTGACTTGGGCTTGGACCAACACTCGGAAATGAGGCTCAGTTCGAACGAGCTGGCTCTAGTTTTTCTTGGGCAGAGCTACTGGTCGCTCGAGCCGATGAGTCGGATTAACTTCCCTGAGCTTTTCTTACTATTAAGCTTGTTTGTCAGTGATTTACCAAAATGATGTTATTTGGGCATGTGTAATCATTATTTTTAATATATCTAATTCTGAACATTCACGTTCCTCCAAATTTTGAATCCCTAAAAGTCAATTTGCTATCATCATTGATGGATTTTAGCACATATTCCTCAATGTCCGATTTACTCACTTTGAATTCGAAGTTTATGTATTGCATATAACGAAATACTTTTCCTCACCAATTATTTATTCATAAAAATATTTTGTTTTACATTCAAATCCGTACTAACAACCGAATTAATTTCACTTTGTTGGTAGCCTTGGTATTGATGTTGAACCTGAATTATGAGTTTCACGTAGGTCTAATTGCATCATGTTGTTTTCTTTAATAATAATAATAATAATAATAAAAGGTGGTGCAAGTTGTACGCCTTTAATAGTTTCGGTTATGCAACATTTTGATATCGCTTTGACATTTAATTTTATCTTTGAAAATATCATACCATCAAATTTGTTGTATGTACATTTTTCGGAAAGACGATTTAGATCATTATACATTTATGAATTGGTTGTCATTATTCCATCCATCACCATGATAGATGAAGACATTGATTGTATCCATCTCTCTCTCTCACTCACTCACACACACAAAAACACACACACAAAAAAAGAAAAAAAAAAAAAGAAAAAAAGCACGCGCCATACATCGTGTGGCTTTTTAGTTAACAAGTGATATGCTGTATCACTTTCATATGCACAATGTTTATTCATATCCTATAAAAAAGATCAATATCTAAATATCATTTAAAAGATTTTCATAAGCAAAATTATGCAGTAGAACAAATATGATGACGGAGACTGAAGAATAAAATCGAAATTCGAGATGAAATTAACACCAAGAGTTCAACATATAAGCTTTCTAATATAGAATTTTAGTTTATGTCCAACACAATAAAAATTAAAATGTAAAAATCAAATAGTAACTTCAGAATTTCTCATGAGCACATCGTAAAATTTGGTTGAGATTTTATTGTGTCAAACAAATAGTGGCAGAATTAAGCCAAACGAACATAATGTTTGACATAAGGGATGACTTAGCACTCACATCCGAGGTGGTGGGTCCCCTAAATAAAATAATACCGACCTCCCCATATATGCGTGCTATGTCAACCGTTGTGCCGACCTCTATGTTCGTGTAGCACAACCCATAGTGGCATGATGGGTGGTTTTTAAATAAAAAATGACACGATCTGTCATTCAATAATGAAGAACAAATATCAAAACAGAATAAAATGAAAATAGCAAACACTAATATCATATTCTAACATGCTAAAAAAATCTTTGAATTTTTTTTTATTTTTTATTTTTTAAAAAGAAGTGCCTATCGAATTATTGAATAATTCAAAAAATTACTTAATGTATGAATAATCAAGCAAAAGGAAACAATAACCAAATAAATCTCAAACACTAAATTATTTGAATCAAATTCAATAAGTTCTTGATAACAAAAAACTCCAAAATAAATTTAACGAATACTACGATCTGAAAGATGAACTATACACCTGATATAAAGATGCAGAGATCTATTTTTTTTTTCCTTGCATATTTTAAAGGAGAATAGTACGAAATTCCATCAAAATAATGTGGAATAAAACAATTTTTAATCTGTCTCTTAATTCTCTGAGATTGCGGGGGATAGGCCAATGTACCATTGCTTCTATTTTGTTTGGGTCGGTCGCCACTCCTTCGGCCGACACCAAGTGGCCCAAGTATTCTATCTGTCGTTGGGCGAAGATGCATTTCTTCGCGTTTGCATACAGCTGATGGGCGGCTAGAGAGGTAAATACTATCTCCAAGTGTTGCTCATGCGTAGGGAGATCTTTACTGTAGACTAAAATGTCATCAAAGAAAACTAGTACGAATTTCCTTAAATAGGCCCTGAAAACCTGGTTCATTAATGACTGAAAAGTTGTCGGCGCGTTGGAGAGACCAAAGGGCATGACAAGAAACTCATAATGTCCCTCATGCATCCGAAACGCAGTCTTATGAACATCCTCCTTTCTTACTCTGATTTAGTGATATCCCGACTTGAGGTCAAGTTTAGAGAATATGGTGGCTCCATGGAGCTCGTCCAATAACTCATCGATCACGGGAATGGGGAACTTGTCTGGAACCGTCACTTTATTCAATGCTCTGTAATCTACACAAAACTGCCAACTACCATCCTTTTTCTTGACGAGTAGTATGGGACTAGAGAAGGGGTTAACACTTGGTTGAATAATCCCTGCATTTAACATCTCTCGAACCAATCGTTCAATCTCATTTTTCTGGATGTGGGGGTATCGAAAAGGCCTGACACTAATTGGTTCAATTCCTTCTTTTAATAGAATTGAGTGATTTGTGTCTCGGTGGGGTGGCAACGCTTGTGGCTCTTTAAATATCTGCTGGTGTTTCTGTAATAATGTCTGCACTCCCTTGGGCAACTCCGCCCTGTTTCCCATCCCAGCAGTTGGCTCATCATACTCTACCCAAATTCCCTACCCTTTGTTTTGTAATGCTTTCACCATGGCCCTTAATGAAACCCCAGATTTATTAAGTCCTGGGTCCCCTTTTAACGTCATCAAAGTCTCGCTCATTCGAAATCTCATGGTGAGAAGTTTCCATTTCACTTCCATATTACCCAGACTCCCCAGCCATTGCATCCCAAGTACCACGTTTGTACTCCCTAATTCCAAAGGCAATAAATCTTCAACTATAGTCAAACCCTGCAATTCCAAAACCACACCCTTACAAATTCCCATCCCTTTCATTGACTTGCCCGTTCCTATAACCACCCCATAATTCGTTGGTGCTATGGTTGGAACTCCCAACTTCTGGACAACATCTACTAATATAAAATTTTTGGTTGCTCCACAGTCGATTAGTACAGTTACTATACTTGAGCCTACCTTCCCTTTCAACATCATGGTACTTGGGGTAGTTAGCCCAACCACCGAATTTAGTGATAGTTCTAACTTGTCTGCCACTTCGAAGGGTTGTGCCGCCTTTGAATCATCAATTGCTTCTTCGTTATCCTCCCCTTCAACCAACAAAACCCGTAGTTCGCGATTCTTGCACTGGTGACCCACGGTAAATTTCTCACCACACAAGAAACAAAGCCCTTTGTCGCGCCTCATCTACCATTCCGCGTCCGACATATGCCTGGTTGGACGTTCTCATCGATCGCCGACCGGCTTTTCTCCCACCGTGACAGTTTTGATAAGGAAAGTCGTCTCTGGCTTCCAGCGATTTGGGAGTACTTTGGGGTTCTGTGGGTTGCTGAATCCCTTGTTTCTTTGATTATGGAGTTACGGTCTTCCACCTTTTGGGCCAACTCCATAATCTGGCCCAGTCCTTTTGGGCCCAGTATCCCGATTTCGGCCCGTATTTCTGGCTTGAGCCCATTAAAAAAAGTACTTTCTAGGACTACGTCTGGTATCTCCTTCAGTGGGGCAGCCAAGACTTCGAACTCTCGCTGGAACTCAACCACGTGTCCGTTTGTTTGATCGCCAGAAACCTTTCACACATACTTCCCTCCTGCGTCGACCGAAAACGTAGCAACAACTATTGTCTGAACTGCCGCCAATTTTGAAACAGAGCTCGAGCCTCCGTCCATTGAAGCCAGGAAAGTGCGTCGCCGTTGAGGCTCACCCCTATAGCCCCCAGTTTCTCCTACTCGGTTAATCCATTAATGTCAAAATATCTTTCGGCCATGAATAACCACCCGTCCGGGTCTACTCCGCTGAAAATAGGCATCTCGAGTTTACGAATGCTTCGCCAATTCTCACCCCTGTCCAAACTTCCATCAAAACTCGCCTCGCCCATTCCCTTTGGCCATTTGCCATGCTGCAGGCTGCTTTGTTTGCCCCTATTTGCCGGA